CAGAGGAATAATTCCGTAGATGGAAGGGAATTATTCCTCCCCTTTTTGGAATTGATTTGATTAATTAGGGATTTGATTTATTAGGGTAAATCAAATCCCTAATTGTGGTAGGTATCAAATCAAATCCCATTTTAATTAGGTAACTCCTCATTTAATTGGGAATCGGGGTAGGAATCAAATCAATTCTCAACCCAATTAGGTAATCTTCAATTTAATTGGGTAATCCCCAATTAAATTGAGTAACTCCCAATTAGGTTGATTAATTCTCAATTAGGTCAAATAATCCCCAAATAGAAGGAATCATTTAACCTAGGGTCTGATTTAATTCGATTCCCACAGTAACTAAAGTTGCAGCTCCCCATTCGAAGTCAACATTGGCATTTTGGCAGGTAAAATAAAAATGGGGAATGCTCTATAAATACCAATGTAAGAGTATTTTACCTCCCATTGCACCTCCACTTGCTCCAAAGAAGCCTAAACTCAGAATGTGTTCCCCTACGAAAATCCCCCCCCCCCCCCCCCCCCCCCCCCCAAAAAACAAACAAACACATCACCCACGAACAAAAAATAAAGTTGAAGATGTTGCTGATGGAGCTGCGAAATCCATAAACTTTTCATTTGAGGACCACGATAATGCAGCTCGGATCGGCAAGATGCGGTATAATGCGTTGATCATGGAAATCAAACGCCAGAAGATACGTCTAAGATGGTATCAAGAAACATTGGGGAAGGAGAAAAAGAAAGCGAAATTCCACCTTCGATAAGTCCAAATAATGAAAGTGAGGGTTAGGCTTGCGAAAGGAAAAGGTTTTCGAAGGTTCAGTACTTCGAATGAGTCTGTGCAGATGAGGGAAGCAGAAGCACACAAAGGGTTTGACCTATTTCGAGTTTGCAAGATGTGTTGTCCCAAGCTACAACTGGGACAGGATCACCATGGAGTAAACCATCGCTGGAGAAAGTTTATTTTGGGGGTTTTCAGTATTTTGTTAGGAACAAATGTGTGGTTCATTTTGTGTACCTTTTTTGGCATTTTGTGTGGGCTCCTAAAGGTGTAAAAACTCTTGTTTGAAGTGTTCATACTTCATAGGTAATGTATCCAACTGTAAGATGTGAAGGACAACTGTAAACAAATAGGGAAACTGTTTTGAGTTTTTTAAGCGTACTTTTGTCTACATAAATTGTTGTGCTTTTATGAAGTTTTCTTATATTATTTTATGATCACATATTTCTTTGTGTTATTTTATAACGCCTAAAAGGCATGGAATAGAAACAACAGAGGTGGATTTGTTGATAATCCAGGTATTTATGTTGCATAGTAATCAAGTAATGGAGGGTTGGCTTTATCTCGTTCGTTTAGGGATGACAATGGGTTGAATTGGGGATGGGTATGCCATTTCCATGGCCCGCCCCATTAGGGAAGAAAAAACCAATTATATAACTACTATGTTGAAAAGAAAAAAAGACTAGTAAGCCAACATAATGAATATATAGAATACATACTTAGAAGACAATATAACAATGTTTATATATACGTTGGAAGTTAACTAAATAAATAAGTAGTGTGGCTTAAGATTTGTATATAATATAATCTACTACTATAAAATATAAAATTTAGTCGATACTCTGTATGTTCATAGCATATATATGAGGTAAATGCTCTTGTGTGTTTCCATTTTGGGTCATTTGAATAAAATAATGCAGCTATGCAGAAAAATATATTAGTAAATATAGTGTTGAATAAATTTATTTGGAAGTCTGTTTTTGTTTCCCCCTTTTTTAAGTAATTGGGTGAGTTTTGAGGTTTGAGCATTTATTTGATCACTTATATAGTAGCTAATTATGTTCGTAACTTGGCATTTTAGAGGTTTGCTTATTGATTTCAAATATAAAATTTTAACAATGAAATAACAAGAACCATATTGTGTCTGTCAATTGAAAGGAGAAAATATAGAAATATTTTTCCGAACAATTATATATGAACACTAAGGAAGTATACTTCTAATTTTTTGCAAAATATAATATTACGGTTCAAAGGAAAGCAAGTTATCACCATATTCCAAAGATGAAGTCTTCACTCTGTATTGTCACATCAGATAAAATTAAGTACGAAATTGAGTTTTCATAATCACTTTGGATGATTTATAGCTTCTCCCAGTTTTGTAACTGCACTAGGAGCTGGGAGCAATTTTCCGGGCAATTTTTCGATTTTTCTCCTATTTATTACCATTTTTTAAATCATTTTGCATTAAAAAATTTAAAACATAAAGAAATAACACACAAGGAGACAGCTGACCGCATCCCCCTTTAGTAGGTGCACACGTGTACGCTAGTGGCCATTGCCACATCCTTCCTTTCCATGTGAATTTAAATGAATATTGCTATTTTCTTACAAAATTCATAACTAAATATACAAAAATCGGGAAAAAATTTCGCAAATTGCTACGAACTCATTCAAACTTGATAAATCAAAATTCAAGCGTTTGCTAATATTTTTACTAATCATGTGAGGCTCCTGTGATTAACTAAATCAAATACTATGATTACTTTAAATATATAAAAATTAAAGTGATGGGACAAAAGGAGAAAAAACAAATTGGAAAACTTCCGGACATAATATATAAACGTTGTTTTATGCCTGTGGGATACTCATGCGTTACATCTCTCTTTTCTTCTTTCGAGTCGTCTTTTTTGCATACAAACCTTCAGCCGAATCCCCCAATCTGACGATTTTTTCAACATGTCCGCCAGTTCAAATGCCAAAGCGAATCAGGGGGACTCCGATGGCTCATGGGAATATGCCCTCGATTATCCAAGGTCCCCTCCACCACCGCTGCCTCTTCCAACCTCCTCCGCAAGCGAGGGGGACTCCGATGATCCCGCTATGGAAATAAATGATACGAAGAACAAACTGGAACACAACTCTTCCTTGGTCCATTATTGGACTCAAAAGTGTGTCGGAGCTGAGTACAAGTTGGCTTATTTGACTCGGCAAGTTAACAAAGCCAGTTACAGAAAAGAGAAGCAGAGAATTTGTGCCCAAAGAAGAAAGCACACAGTAGAGGATTTGCATATGACAGAGGAGGATGCTACGTACGAATCTTTGAGCATCCATAAAGGAGGGGACAACCAAGGCCAGGCATGTCTGTGGCTTTCAACAAAGGTTTTAAGAAATTCCGATGGTTCGCTACAGATGTCCACAAAGATATTGACTGGGACGCTATAACTCCGTCTGCTGCGTAGGAAATCATCTCTAGTGGTGCACACCCAATAGAGCAAGGCCACCAACCAGCAAAAGGCAATGATAATGACTGGTGATAGCCATATCAATCCGTAGGCAATCCCTCACCAGGTGTTTGTTTTTAACAAAATGTCTTATCTGGGTTAGTGTTTAAATGTTAATGTCTGGTCTGGGTTAGTGTTTAAATGTGAATGCCCAATCTGGGTTACTGTTTTAATGTTAATGCCCGATCTTGCTTACGTGCAGCTTATTTCGTTTTACACTGCTATCAAAGCTAGAGTTCAATCACAGTTCGATCACTAACTTCCGGATTAGAAGCATTCATTTCGTAATAGTGCTCACAATTTTTTGTTTAATTCATTGTCGGTGGGGAGACAATTTGTTTCAAGATTCTCTGACACAGATATTCGTTGGTTGAGACTTTACAGAGACATAGTGATTGTTTCAAGATTCTCTTACTGACACATAGTCATGGTTTCAAGATTCCCTTAGATATTTTCATATTCATTGCAACCATTGTAAATTTGTGTATAAAACCCCTTGCATGATTCCCCCAAACTCATTCTCCTTCAAATAAGGGCTTCAGGTTATGAAAATCCCAAAGCCTCAGAGGACATCCGGCACATCCACCTTCAACCAAAGATGGATCCGAAACTTCGAGTTACACCTAATTATTGAAAGCATGGTGCCGTTCACGACCAAAAAAGATGTAAATAGGTATCAATAAATGTTAAAACTCTGGGACCATAAATGAAATCAAACTCTTCCAGATAGTTATGTGTTTAATAAACCATGTTTAATAAACCATAGTTCAGTATCAATGGACATGAGGCATTTACCTAAGATTCACTAACACTTCCAGATACTTTAAAAAACGATGTCAAGAAGTATCAATAAGTGTTCAAACTCTGAGACCATAAATGAAATCAAACTCTTGCATAAATGACTCTGTCATAGTAGGTTCACTGTCCTGCGTGCTCTGAGTGGGCTGCAAATTCTCACCAACTGGACCACCAAGTTCTATGTCGGAAGATGAAGAGCTACAACATTAGAAAACAAATAATAATAAACATCAACAACATAAAATTCAAAGCACAATATAGCACATATTCACTTACGGGCTTGTAAGTTTTGGACAACTCCATCTATCATGATCAGTCTTTCTACATTCAGTGCACCGATGTTTATGTTGTTGCGATGCCTTCTCTTTTTCTCCTTTAACTCTTTTTGCACGCTCTTTTACTTTCACTCGATGTGGATCTTTGATTCTGAGTTGGGGATAACTAGTTCCGACATCTCCATTGGGTTCTTTGACATGAGCTTTTAATGACACCAACCTTGTAAGTTTCCCACGAATGTCCTCAAAAGATTTTTCCAGCAACTCAAAACCTTCATCACACAACAAAGCTGAATCAATCAAATCACTTGCAACTTTGCAAACTTTCGATCTCTTAACCAAAAGCAAACCATCAACGTAATCGTTAACTTCTTTGTGATTCTTATCATATATTACACCGTTTTTCGCACTTCGAAGCCATCGTTTCAATATGTACTTGTCTGGCAAGTGCTCAACCTGCTTCATTCTTAAGAATGCTAGGATGTGTCGGCACAGAATACCCCAAAATTAAAATCCTTTGCAGCTGTAATAAGCTTTATTGACATCTTTATCATGCACAAGCTCCTTGATCCGTGTCACCCCCGGATTTACCCGCTCACTTACTTTGTATCTGCATTGCATCTCATCTTGCTCTACAAGTTTGAACAAGCATAAAAGACTTCTGAAGTCTTCCCTCTCAAACATTTCCAGAATTTCCTGAGTGTAAATGCGTCCCATTTGATGTTGCATTGGTGTTTGAAATGGCAGTGGAGGTTTTTCATTGTTATCAACATGATCAGCCATTAACTCCTTGTGTCTTTATGAAGCAAGAGCTCTCTCAAAATGTACAATGAATTCTATCAATGTGTTTTTTGGGTTAATATATTGTTTGAAAAATGAATGACAGCTTTCGGCCTATTGACTACTTGACATCCCAGCCGAAAGCACATGTTTTACATATGATGGAACCCAATTCTCCTGCATAGCATGAATTGAGCTCAGCCACGCATGGTCTTTCAACCCATTGTTTGTGATGATTTCCTCATATTTCGCATCAAATTCTTCTTTCTTGTCCATACCCCATATGCTTTTGCACATTTTCGAAAAACATTCTCCAATGCCGGGTTTCTCTGTAATCTTATTCAAGATATGTCGTATGCAATATCTATGAAATGTTGTTGAGAGAGTTACAGCAATTGCCTTTGACATGGTTGCATCTTGATCAGTGATGATCATTTTGGGTGGCTCACCCGGCATGACTTTCTTGAATTCCTCTAACAAACGTACAAATGAATATGTGGTTTCACTAGTTAGGAATGCACAACCAAACAACACTGTCTGCCGATGGTTATTAACGCTTAACAAAGGCTTAAAGACCATCCCATAGCAGTTTGTGTTGAACGTCGTATCAAATACCACCACATCTCCAAAAAAACCCATAAGCTCATCTTGACCTTGCATCTGACCAGAAAACATTACCCATCCTTCCTTCTGAATCTACCTCCATCTTGAAATAAAAGGATTAATTCTTTTCTTGCTCAACCATAAAATGCTCCTTAAGCAGCTCTGCATCATGGCCAATCACCTCTCCACGCACGTCCCTTAGATAATTATAGACATCTCTCTTAACAAACCCAACATTTTGCAATCCCCCTACTTGCACCTCAAGAAGACTTAACTGTTTATGTATCGGAATATTAACTTTGTTCATATCTGCACTATAGACCTTTGTAGACTCTGTTAAGTTATGATGAGATCTCAATAGATGGACTTTATCAATTGTGGTCATGTCATGGTTGTGTACCTCATTGAATCCTAGAACAATGTACTTATTCTTGTCTTTCACCTTGAATATCACAAGTTTAGCCTTGCAACCTGTTCGAGTACAACCTCGTCGTCTTCTCTTACAACTAACATTTCTTGTCAACGCATACCCCTGTTTACAACATACATATTCCTTCCTTGTTACCTCTCCTGTCAGTGTGCACGTTTTCGTTGTAGAACACCGAATGCCGAATCTAGCTTCTGCAACATACATATTATAGAAATTGAACACATCATCATAGCAATCAAATTCGAGTCTCAATTGTGGTTTCAACTTCGACCTTACTTCCAATGTCACCTGTCCTTCACACTCCATTTCACAGTTCTTGCAATTTAACCCTAAATTCACCACCATCATACCAACATTGGCACATGCTTTCAAAGGGTTTTAAAATATATATATTAACTAACATATGACATGAAAATGATTATCTGGTGAAATATTAAAAACTTACGTACAAACTAATGTAACTCATGCTTATGCCCAATAATAAACTTAACAAATACAATATAAAGAGCTTCAAAATATATATTAACTAACATATGATATGAAAATGACTCTCGAGTGAAATATTAAAGACCTACATACAAAATAATGTAACTCATGCTTATGCCCAATAATAAACTTGACAAATACAGTATAAAGAGCTTTAAAATATATGTGTTAACTAACACATGATATGAAAATGATACTCTGGTGAAATATTAAAGACCTACATACAAATTAATGTAACTCATGCTTATTCTCAATAATAAACTTGACAAATACAATATATTAGGGGTGGTTGCGGTTCGGTAACCGCAAATTTTTACTCAAATCGCAAACCGACCGACTATTTGCGGTTTGGTGATTTTTGAAACCGCAAACCGACCCCGTTTGGCGGTTTCAAACTGTCAGTTCCTATCTCAAGCATTCACAACCTAAGAAAATTAAACTTACAATTTCAAGTATTCCAATTAAAGTTAAACTTCTCAAGCATTCCAATTCCAAATCCTTTAAAGTTACAAACCAAAAGGAAAATGCAAAGAAAAATGAATTAAAGTTACAACCAAAAAGAAAAATCCAATTCAAAGTTAATTAAAGTTACAAACCAAAAGGAAAATGCAATGCACCAATGTTACAAACTAAAGTTACAAACTCAAGTATTGGTGGTGAGTGGATTTGAAGAACCCCGTTGTATTGTTTGAGCACCAATGTTATCTACAAATAAAACAACATAGTTTAGTACATTTTATTATAAGAAGAAGCATAAATAACATTAGCATAAATAAACTAATTACCTACAAGTTGTCATATGTTTCATTTCCATGTAGAATTCAACCTCATCATCCGTGCGGCTACACTTTGCGGTTTGCGGTAACCGCAAGTTTTGAAAATCAAATACCGCAACCGCAACCGCAAATGCAGTTCGATTCTTAATACCGTAAATGCGGTTCGGTTTACCGCGATTGCGGTTTCATTGCGGTAAATTATCGGTTGGTTTTTGCGGTTTTTCGGTTTTTCGATTTAAAATGCCACTCCTACAATATATCACTTACCTCGTGAGTCATTTTCAACTTCAAAATTTCTACAAATATGACAATGTCGCCTTTTTAGATTTGGACGTCAACCCCAAACACTTTTCTTCTTCCTCAACCCCTGTTTTGACCGTGCTCAACGATTTCAAAACCAAGAGAACAGCACAACGGTCGCGGTCACCAGTTTCCAACTCAAGACATTGCTCAAGGATTGACGAATGTTCTGACTAGAAAGACCTTACCAGAAAGACCGAACCACAAAGATGATAATATAAAATACACGAACACTTTCTTTCGCCTGAATGAGAAACCCAGAAAAATGAGGGCTATAAACTTCTGTGTTTTGTTTGGAATTGAATAAGGAATAATATGGGCGCTCTCTCTTCAGTGTTATTGGTCTTACTCAATCAAAGCTGATAAAAAAAATCGGCCACTTAATTGAACAAACTGAACAGCTAGATTGGAGGGGACGTCTATTTTCGACTCAACGTTTTGGAGGGAGGAGAGAGAAGAAGGCCTCGTTATAATACAACACTTACACTTGCAACTGCTTTTGATGCAGCTGTTGTATTAGATCCAACGGTGTTCTCACATAACGCTCGCATATAAGCATTCTCACCTGATCCAAACCGTATAGCTAAAACCTAATTTTTCTTTGTTTGGAAGTCTTGGGCTTTAAGCCCAATTCAAAGGTAGTAAAACTGAAGCCCACATATAATATTTACAACTTAGCTGGCCCGATGACATCGTGATAAGAAAACAAAACACGAAACACGAACCAGCTCACGGATAGAAATATCTGCTCTCTGCTACCTGCGACCGTCGACCAAAACGCGAACCAGCTCACGGAAAGAATTAAAAAGCGAGTCTTCATGGCGGCATTCACAGGAGCGCTGACGACGACCCTTCCCACCGCGCCATTATTACATTCAGATTCGATATCATCATCATCATCGCCTTCGTCTGCGTTTTCTAAGGTATACAAAAGAACAGCTTCTCTTTCTTGCTCTTGTTCCACTTCTAGTACTGCTTCTACTTCTAGTTCCTCTACTGGGCAACCGAATGGCTGCGATGATTGCACAAGGAACACGAAAAGCACTCAGAAATTTAGCTATGGCAGAGCCTCACCCTCAGTCAGATGGCCCCATTTGAAGCTCACTGACACTTATCCCTCACCTCACACCCAATTCACTCCTCCACTCCCGATCCATGTTGTGCAAGATTCCACTGATTCTGACTCTGAGGGGAAAGAGGAAGAAGACCTGAATTTGGGTTCTGTGGGTTCTTTGGATACGAATGATGAAACCCAACAAGTGTTGGGGAGGCCCAGCAAGACTAAGGCCAAGAAAATGACCAAACTGGCTCTCAAAAGAGCCAAAGATTGGAGAGAAAGAGTGAAACTTTTTACTGATAGGATTTTGGGACTGAAACCCGACGAGTTTGTGGCTGATGTGTTGGATGATAGGAAAGTTCAAATGACCCCAACTGATTTTTGCTTTGTGGTGAAATGGGTGGGCCAGTCGAGCTGGCAGCGTGCATTGGAGGTCTACGAGTGGCTGAATTTACGCCACTGGTACTCCCCGAATGCACGGATGCTTGCCACTATCTTAGCAGTCCTTGGAAAGGCTAACCAGGAAGCCTTAGCTGTGGAAATATTCATGAGGGCTGAGCCCGGAACTGGCAATACAGTCCAAGTGTACAATGCCATGATGGGCGTCTATGCACGAAATGGCCGGTTTAATAAGGTCCAAGAATTGCTCGATTTAATGCGTGAGAGAGGGTGCGAACCGGACCTCGTGAGTCTCAATACTTTGATAAATGCTCGCCTGAGGTCAGGAGCCATGGTACCAAACTTGGCTATTGACCTTTTAAATGAGGTGAGAAGATCAGGTCTTAGGCCAGATATAATAACTTATAATACTCTTATAAGTGGCTGTTCGCGTGAATCCAATTTGGAGGAGGCAGTGAAGGTTTACAATGATATGGAAGCACATAATTGTCAGCCTGATCTTTGGACTTACAATGCCATGATTTCCGTATATGGGAGATGTGGAGAATCAAGCAAAGCTGAGCAGCTCTTTAAGGAATTGGAGTCGAAAGGGTTTTTCCCAGATGCAGTGACATATAATTCCTTGTTGTATGCTTTTGCAAGAGAACTTGATATAGAAAAGGTGAGGGATATTGGTGAAGATATGATGAAAATGGGGTTTGGTAAAGATGAGATGACCTACAATACTATTATCCACATGTATGGCAAGCAGGGCCAGCATGATCTAGCGTTTCAGCTTTACAGGGACATGAAAATGCTAGGCCGGACTCCTGATGCTGTTACATACACTGTATTGATTGATTCGCTTGGAAAAGCAAATAAGATAACAGAGGCCGCCAATGTGATGTCAGAGATGTTGGACAGTGGAGTGAAACCCACTCTTCGGACTTATAGTGCTTTGATGTGTGCGTATGCCAAGGCTGGGAAACAGGTGGAGGCTCAAGAGACATTTGATTGCATGGTTAAGTCTGGGATTAGACCAGATCATCTAGCATACTCAGTTATGTTGGATATCTTTCTGAAGGTCAATGAGACAAAGAAGGCTATCACGTTGTATCAGGAAATGCTGCATGACGGTTTCAAGCTAGATCATGCCCTCTATGAGTTTATGTTGCGGGTGCTTGGAAGAGAAAATAAATTGGAAGTCATTGAAAGAGTGATCAGAGATATGGAAAAAGTTGGTGGTATGAACCCACAAGTTATCTCTTCTATTCTTGTTAAGGGAGAATGTTTTGACCATGCTGCTAAAATGTTGAGATTAGCCATCACCAGTGGCTATGAGTTGGACAGGGAAAGTCTTTTATCTATTGTCAGTTCATATAGTTCATGTGGAAGGCACTCAGAAGCATGTGAATTGCTTGAATTTTTGAGAGAACATGCTCCCGGTTCCAATCAACTTATAACTGAAGCATTGGTTGTCATACAATGCAAGGCTCACAGATTTGATGCTGCCTTGGTGGAATATAGTAATACCAGAGGGTTCCATTCTTTTAGCAGAAGTTCAACCATGTATGAAATCCTGATTCAAGGCTGCGAAGAGAATGAACTCTTTGGTGAAGCTTCTCAGGTTTATTCTGACATGAGATTATATGGCGTTGAACCATCTGAGCATCTTTACCAAATTATGGTGCTCATCTATTGTAAGATGGGTTTCCCTGAGACAGCCCACCTTTTGATTGATCAGGCAGAAATGAAAGGCATTTTGTTTGACAATGTCAACATATATGTTAATGTTATTGAAGTCTACGGGAAATTGAAGCTGTGGCAGAAAGCTGAAAGTTTGGTGGGAAGTCTTAGACAAAGATGTAAAGCAGTGGATAGGAAGGTCTGGAATGCCTTGATACAAGCTTATGCTGCAAGTGGTTGCTATGAGCGAGCTAGAGTGATCTTTAACACAATGATGAGAGATGGTCCTTCCCCAACAATTGATTCTGTAAATGGTCTTTTACAAGCTCTGATTGCTGATGGGAGATTGAATGAGCTCTATGTTCTAATCCAGGAGTTGCAAGATATGGGTTTAAAAATAAGCAAGAGTTCAATTCTCTTGATGCTTGAAGCATTTGCTCGAGAAGGTAACATATTTGAGGTAAAGAAGATATACCATGGAATGAAGGCTGCAGGTTATTTTCCTAACATGGATTGTTTCAGGATTATGATCAAGTTATTGTGCAGGGGAAAACGAGTAAAGGATGTTGAAGCAATGGTTTATGAGATGGAAGAGGCAGGGTTCAAGCCTGATCTTTCAATATGGAATTCCATGCTTAAGTTATATGCAGGAATTAAGGATTTCAAAAAGACAGTTAAAGTATACCAGCGGATTCAAGAAGCTGTACTTCAACCTGATGACGATACTTACAATACTTTAATTATAATGTACTGCAGAGATTGTCGACCAGAAGAAGGTTTATCATTGATGCAGGAAATGAGAAGGCAGGGCCTAGAACCTAAGTTGGACACTTACAAAAGCTTAATTTCGGCATTTGGTAAGCAGAAGCTGTTGGATCAAGCTGAGGAACTTTTTGAAGAGTTAAGGTCAAATGGATGTAAACTGGATCGGTCCTTCTATCATACAATGATGAAAATGTTTAGAAATTCAGGAAACCATGCCAAAGCTGAAATGTTGTTCACCATGATGAAAGAGGCAGGAATAGAACCCAACTTTGCCACAATGCACTTGCTTATGGTTTCTTATGGCAGCTCTGGACAGCCTCAGGAAGCTGAAAAGGTGCTTGACAATTTGAAAGTAACTGGCTTAGATCTTGATACGTTACCATATAGTTCAGTTATTGGTGCTTATCTGAAGAATGGAGATTATAACATTGGAATTCAAAAGCTCAATGAGATGAAGGAAGTAGGCCTGGAGCCAGATCATAGAATATGGACTTGCTTTATACGGGCTGCAAGTTTATCCCAGCAAAAAAGTGAAGCCGTTATTCTCCTAAATGCACTGCGTGATACCGGATTTGATCTTCCAATCAGGTAATTATTAGTTCTCAATAGAATCACAATCAGATTTTTCATCTTTTTCCAAGTTTTTTCTCCTCTGATCCATCTCCAAGCAAATCTTGTCTTGTAGGCTTGTGACAGAAAAACCTGAGTCACTGATTTTGGAAGTAGATCGTTGCCTAGAAAAACTAGAACCCTTGGAAGACAATGCAGCCTTCAACTTTGTCAATGCTTTGGAGGACCTTTTGTGGGCATATGAACTCCGAGCCACTGCTTCATGGGTTTTCCAATTAGCAGTAAAGAGAGGCATCTATAACAATGATGTGTTCAGGTAGGTGTTGGTAGATCCAATAGTCAACCATCTGGTATGTTATATGTCTATCAAGGCTAAAGAAAAGAAAGTGGTTTTCCTTATCAATCAATTTTCGTTTCCATCGGTTTGCTTATATCCAGTAATCTTTTAAATGCAGGGTAGCTGACAAAGACTGGGCTGCTGATTTTAGAAAGTTATCAGCTGGTTCTGCTCTTGTTGGTCTTACTTTATGGTTGGATCAGATGCAGGCAACCCTCTTTCTCCTTCACAGTTTCGTTTGAGATCACTACCCTTTTGAAGCTCCCCTTTCATTTGTGAGTCTAACACAGAGGTTCTTGTTTTATGGCAGGATGCATCATTGGAGGGTTATCCAGAGTCTCCAAAATCAGTCGTGCTGATAACAGGGACATCCGAGTACAACATGGTTTCACTTAACAGTACATTGAAGGCATGCCTTTGGGAGATGGGTTCACCTTTTCTGCCTTGCAAAACACGAAGTGGCCTTCTTGTAGCGAAGGCACACTCCCTCAGGATGTGGTTAAAGGACTCCCCATTTTGTTTGGACCTTGAGTTGAAAGATGCCCCAGCTCTCCCTGAATCAAACTCAATACAGCTGATTGATGGATGCTTCCTACGACGCGGTCTTGTTCCTGCATTTAAGGAAATAACCGAGAGGCTTGGCCTAGTGAGGCCCAAGAAATTTGCTAGATTGGCTTTGCTATCAGATGAAAAGAGAGAGAAAGTTATTCAATCTGATATTGAAGGGAGGAAAGAGAAGTTAGAGAAAATGAAGGAAAATGATAATCCAAGGAGGGTGAGCAGGATTAAAAAGCTTAGGAAGAGGAAATATGTAAGACCGTCCACATTGTCAAACACCAAACAGATTGTATCAGGACAAAAAGCTTTAAAATAGAGTTGTGGAAGTATGGAAAGGCTGCATAGTTTCCGGACCTTCTTCCACTTCAGCACCTCTTAGTTTAAATCTTTCTTTTTGATCTCATGTCACATTAACTTTAAAGACCCGAACTTCACTGATAGCATGGAGGAGGATTCTGATGATGAAACTCACGAGGAGGAGGAAGATGAGTATGTTTTCAAGCTGTGTAAGGTTATGTTTGACTCGGAACCGCAGGTCCACTAAATGATTTCTAATTATGCTGCCTTTATTATGTTGTAGTGAGCGATTGAATATACAGGGGATGAAGATGTCGGCTGGAAAGTCCGAAGAGCAGCGGCTAAATGCTTAGCGCCATTAATTGTTTCCTGTCCTGAGATGCTTTCAAAGCTGTATGAGGACAATAGTCCTGAGATGCTTTGCAATTTCTCTTGAAACTTCTCATTATATTTTTGTGTGCTCTCTTGTGTTATCGATATATTTGTAACATTTTGATTTTGTATTTTACTTGGTATGGGTCTCTCATCGACTTGAAATGTGAATGTTTTAATTTCCTTCAATTCTCACAATAGTCCTTCAATGAAATCATTAAACACTTTCTGCTTTTCCGCAGGCTTGTCCAAAATTAATTGACAGGTTTGAAGAGAGGGAGGAAAATGTCAATGTAAACCAGAATGAATGTCAGTGGATCATCTCACTTCACGGGATTAATTATTTTGCTGAAGATGGATTTTTTAATACATTCATTGAACTGTTGCAGCAAACTGAAAATGTTACAGAAGGACAGATTGAGATAAATGAACAGAGGTAACTTAGTTGTAAACTTGTAATGTTATCTGAGTGTTAAAGTACATGCAGTTTGTTTTCTCTTTTACCTCTTATCTAGCATTTGCTCGGTTGGGTATGTTTTAGAAATCTTAGATTCTTAACTTGGGAAGTCCTAGTTCTGAGTTATTAGATGCCTTTGCTAAATTCTTGGCATGTTTTGCAGTCCAAAATGGTTATTGAAGCAAGAAGTGCCAAAGATTGTCAGATCTATAAATAGGCAGCTACATGAGAAATCTATCAAGACAAAGGTAGGATTTTTTAAGTATCTTTCGGATTGTCTGTTATGGGAATGTTATGAACTATAACATTTATCTATTTTCAGGTTGGCGCGTTTTCTGTTCTGAAAGAACTTGTGGTGGTCTTGCCAGATTTCCTGGCTGATCACATGGGTTCACTCAGTCCAGGAATTGAAAAGGCGTTAAGTGTAAGTAAAATTGTCTCAAATTGTAAGTGTATTTTGAACTAAGATAAGTCTTTTCTGGTGCTGATATTTGTTCCCCTTTTTTCCTTTTTTTGGTGGTCTCTTGTAATTTTTTCTAGGATAAGTCTTTTACCTCCAATTTAAAGATTGAAGCTCTTATATTTGCACGATTGGTGCTGGCTTCACATTCTCCTCCTGTGTTTTCCATCCTTATATCAAGGTAACTGCAGTAACTCTTACGAATATGCTATGTTATGAATATGCTGATATGATATTGAGAAATAGACCACTAGTTGCATTCGTTTGGGGACATTATAAAATATAAATTCATATTATTGCAGGCTCTTTCTAGTCCTGTTGTATCTGCTGTGGGAGAGCGTTAGTAGAAAGTCACAGCTGAGGCATTAAGGGTGTGTAGGGATTTTTCCATGTCATTCGCCTGAATATCGAGGTGTATTAGTGGGCACACTTAGTCTTGTGGTCCTGTTAAACTATTTTCTACTTATATGATATGGTTATTCCAAGTAGGGGATTGGTTTTGACTTCAAACCTTATGCAGGAGGTAAATGAATGTGCTATATCTTGCATGGATCTAGTTGTGTCAACATTTGGTGATAACCTTAATGTTGAACTGTCTGTATGCCTTCCTGTACTTGATAGGATGGGAAATGAGATCACTCGACTTACAGCTGTGAAGGTAATTCTTTTGCTCACTTTTGTGACTGACTGTGACTGTTCCTTTGCCATTTGTTTGCTGATGTCTTTTTTTCGGCCTTTACTTTCTGAAGATATACATTTGGGACTGTATTATTATGTACATGTCTTAAGTTTCTAAGACCTTGAGTGTTTTGCATCCAAGCATTTGCTGTCATTGCTGCTTCTCCACTGAAAATAGCTCAATCTTGAATGTTTGAGCAAGTGATTGCAGAGTTGACTGCATTCTTAAGGAAGGTATGGGAATTTACTTAATATGTTGTTGAATTCATAATCTTCTTACAAATTTTTTTATGAAACTCATGTTAGAATCACTCAAAGACCAATGAAATTAATCCTAATATTCTTTGCCTTTGTGGAAATCAGGCTAATCAGCCTCTAAGACAGGCAACATTATGGACCCTGAATTCCCTAATTGTTGCTTATGGAGATAAAATTGGCTCATCTGCTTATGAAGTTATTATTGTATAACTTGCCACACTGATAAGGTTTTTCTCTTGCTACTTCACCAATTTTTTTGTTCTTTTCAAATTTTTGTGTGATTGGTGGCTGGGTGGTTTAATTTGTGAACCTTAGTGTCTATCTAATACACATTTCCAGTGATTCAGACTTGCATATGACGGCCCTCACCCTGGAACTCTGCTGCACCTTGATGGCAGACAGGTCAAGCCTGGTTGTTGGATTGGCTTTTAGAAACGAAGTTCTTCCGCAAGCACTAATGTTAATTAAGAGCTCATTGCTGCAGGGGCAAGCCCTTTTGGTAATTTCCTTATCTAACTGGTGTTTTGTCTTGATCTAGAAACGTTGTACATGTTTGAGAACATTCTTTGTTGGATATTGTAGGCATTGCAAAACTTTTTTTGCTTCCTTGGTGTATTCTGCAAACACAAGTTTTGATACCTTACTAGACTTTCTGCTATCAAGTGCTAAACCGTCTCCCCACTCAGGTGGGGTTGCAAAACAAGCTTTGTATTCAATAGCTCAATGTGCGGCTGTCCTTTGCCTTGCTGCTGGTGATCAGCAATGTTCATCTATTGTGAAAGCGCTAACTGAAATTCTGAAAGATGACAGCAGTATAAATTCGGTAAGATGCTGTCAAGCAAGAAGTAGATCGCAATAAAGATATGATTCGCAGCACTCTTAGTGCAATTGCATCCTTGCATCATATAAAGGTTTCACCCTTGACTTTTATCCATGTCCTGATGTAGGTTCTGCATGAAATTCTTGATGGGCGTTGGTTCGTCCTTTAGTACATTGGTGGATCCTTTCCCCAGTATTTTGCTTTCCTTTGCACGCACGTGTTTGTTTTCACATTGATGAATCTTCTACTGCTTTGTTATATTTCTTATCCTGCAGTGGTGAAGATTGCAGCCTTGAGTTCAAGAATATGAATGAAATCTCAAAATCTCCAATTCTCTCGGACAAGTATTATTCCATCCGAAATGAATGATGGACTAGTTGGAACTCGTCTGTCTTACTGTGATGTCAAGGTTTCGCGCAGCCACCGAGGAAGATTGTATCATTATTTTGTCGTGTGCAGGCTGGGCTTCTCTGTGGCAGATTACACGGAAGTTGAAAATGAAGTTAAGAATTCAAAGCTGCATGAACACATCTTTATCGTGGGAATACCAGGTTCAAGTCATTGCGATGTTTTTGCCTTTGCAACTAACCATCATTTGGTTACATGATGTGTTGCTGGACAGATTATATAGGGTGTGGAATCAACGAAATTTTTGTCATTGAATTTTTTATTTTTTATTTTAAGTCATTCATTATATACAGTTGACAAAGCTTATTTTTGAATTGTAAATCTTTTCTTTTCTTTAATCAAGTTGTGCATTTGGTTTAAGAGCATCCATAATAGGCTCCCTAAATCACTTTAAACAAATTTTAGGGAAGAATTGGAAAAATACAACTTTAACCATACTCCCTATCCATCTCCTAAAATAGAGACATCTAGGAGCTCGTAAATTTGAGGAGAGAAAGAACTCCTAAATTCTAATGGCTCCTAATAATTTAATGTTATTTTGTTTTATGTATAGTTTAAACTTTTAATTAATGCAAACTATTTTGTTATATTATTTTTTAGGCTTATTATCACAAAATGTCCCTGACATTTGCGAAATTATCACATTGCATTCTTAAAGTTTTTTTGTATTACTCATGGTCCCTAATGTTAATATAGGTGCTCTTAAATAGTCCATCTGTCAAAAAAACTTTTAAATCCAAGAATATAATCGTTAAATCAATCCAAAATTATAAAAAATATATATATTTTATTTCCTTCCCTTCTCTCCTTCTTTTCTTCTTCTTCTTTCTCTCCGGCCCCTTTTTTTCTTCTCTTCTTCTCTCTCTGTTTCTCTTTTTTTCCCTTTCTTTTTTTCTTCTTTTTCTCCTCTCTCTCTCTCTCTCTCTCTCTCTCTCTCTCTCTCAGTTATCCATGGAAGCTTCTGCAACAATGCTCCCACTCTCTCAGGTCCCTCGTTTCTTCCCACATAAACCCAACAGAAGCAAACTAGCTTGTCCTCCTTGTGGGCCATCCAAACCAAGAAGAACCTCTCTGCCCAGTCGTCTACACTGCCAAAAGATGTATGTCCCTGGTGGGTAGGGTAGTTTCAGTAATTACGGAGTAAAACTCCCTCTGCACTGCACCTATATTTGCGACTTGTTAGTGTTTCATTCTGGTATGAAAAGTTAGTTGTTGTTTAATTATGATATTGTTTTTCAAATCACCCCCCTCTTATTGTTTAGCATTGCAAACCAATCTGCAATCCATATTTGCACTCTGCAGCCAGCAGAGGTCATCTTGTTCACATTTATCGTCTTCATAACTCCCTACACAACAGCACATTTGAACCACAATGATATAATGAAAACATGCCCTTAAGTTTCTCACTACAATTATTCTTTCAAAACACAAGAAAGTCCGTTGCAATCCAAATAATTAATACACGAGAATAACACACTGCAGAATCTCAATTTGAGTATCTTCTCTCCACAAAACGTATCAACATCAATTATGTGTTATGAATTTTATGATTGTTAAAGAAAATTTGAAAAAACACCTGAGCAATATGCATTCGACCTAGGCGATGGGTTCGGACTTATGAGCCAGCAAATTCCGAAGCTCGTCCTCTTGAATACATTCCTCTGCCACGCTCATCAACATCTGGTACTTCTCCTCCAAACTCATTCTTCACCAAATCACACCCACAAGTTTGAAGTAAGTTCAGATCAACGGAAAAAATTGGAAACGATAAGAAAATGATAAGAAAAGCGAGAGAAGCTTACTGGATGGTTGGATTTGAAGAGCTGGATGGTGAAGCCTTGGAAATTGAAAGAGATTGGACTCCATCGGCTTGGGGGGCTTCCTCTGGTGCTTCAGTCGCCATTGGACAGGTTAAGTGTGAAGCTTTCTGTGGGAGCAGATATTTTCGTCTCCAATCACAGCGCGCTACGTGGAAAAGAAGATTATCTCTTTTAATTAATTAATTGAACCAGTTTATTTGGCCAATTAATTAATTGAGATAAATATTTTAATTAACATGATATTATCTTTATTTAATAAGATAATATCATTAATTAAGATATTATCCTAATAAAGAGAAGATAATGTCATTATCTCATATATTATCTCCATAAAAAGAGATAATATCATTTAATTAGATATTATCTCAGTCCGACTCGATCCCTACGAATTTGGGTAGAGAATAAACTCAGCATATTCTCTACGAAACCCTAGCCCCGAGGCTCCTATAAATAGATGACTTCATTCAT